GTTACATACATTTCAACAAAACCATTATACCCTGATTTCCCATTTTCAATGGGTTGAGGGTATAAAAACACACATACAAAGACACATGCACGCATATGTAACTGCTCAGTGAGAAGCGACTGCGCTGGGCTGCAGTGTGGTCAATATTTTGAGAATTTCATTGTTGCATAATTTCTTTTGTAGCGAGACTTTCTTAAGATAGAATGTGATCACACTGTTCAAATATGTGTATATTCCAAAGCATAAGTCTCTAGTACTCAGTAAACTGATTTTTTTTTTTCAAATTGCGGGCGAAGGGGGCGTGGTATCTAATACACGTAAATCACAAAATCTGTGTATTCATAAGTCTTAATCTTAAAAATTGAAATCAACTTATCTATTATTCTCGATCAAAAAGAAATCGTATGAGTTGTACGCACGCAAAAATTCAAGTGCTTACCTTTTATATACATATGTAGTTTCAGAGATCTCGGCGCTCATACGGAGCGACGGACAAGGCTATATCGACTGAGCTTGTCGCTCTGGTCCAGTATATACTCACATATATGGTTTACGGGGTCTTCGACATACATATCCACAAAAACATTATACGCTGATTTCCCAATATACTTTATGGGGTCTGCGATGGTTCCTTCTGCCTATTACATACTTTTCACATAGCCATTATACCCTGATTTCCCATTTTCAATGGGTTCAGGGTATAATAATACATAGTAATAATATTGAAATAACAGACGCACGTAGCGCACGTAGCTTCAGCTTCCCGACGTTATCAATTCAGGCAACCAAAAGATTGTTCTCGTGAAGAAAGCCGGACACGATTATATCTGACATAAGCAGCGTGCAAAGCCATTATTGACCGTATCCGAGGGCTTGTTGTGTTCCTTTAATCGTTCCTTTGATCTTGGATGGTCAACTCGAATCTATATTCCAAATATATACCTCTTACTAATATGATTTCTGACATATCGGAAAATGCATTTTCCGATACGGACATAACACAAAACTAAACTGAACTTAAAAAACTAAATAAAGTACAATATACTTACAAGTTTGCAAAACTTAGGTGCATTCAGCCATCACATGAAAAGCAAATCAGAACATAAGAGATAAATACTCTGAAGGAAGCAACAACAAACAAGTAAGAACGTTGCAGAATACTCATTCACACCCCATAAGCAATTAAGTGGTCAAGTTTAGCTCTAATACTGTATCAAGCTCAGTTTCGATTTGCCACGCCCCTACTGGGCGTCGATTTTGGCCAGCTCATGGAACAAGCTAGCCGTAACCTAGCTGCAAAATTTGGATGCTTACGCTCCAACCAAATTTGAAGCTTCTAGTAGTAGAATTTAAAAAATCACTATCTCTTCAGGTTAAATTTGCCACGCCCCTAAAAGGCATTTATTTTTTCATCAATGTTTATAGAATTACAACATTAGCTCACGTGCAAAATTTCACGTTCTAGCTTAAAAACTCTAGGAGATACAGTTTTATCTGATTTGTCACGCCTCTAATGAGGTATAATGGTTTTGTTGAAAGTATATAACAGGCAAAAGGGGGCGTGGCAGACCCCACAAAGCATATATATTCTTGATCCGGGCAACGAGTTGAGTCGGTTTGGCCCTGTCCGTCCATATGTATGAACGCGTCTATCTCAGAAGATATAAAGGCTAGAGAGGGTACAGCCTTGGATCAGCCTGACAAGCTGAGTCAATCGAACTACACCCTTTGATCAATCGTCTGTCCGTCAACGTTAAAGACTACCATTGTGGATAAAGGTCAGTATCTCAACCTGATGTCCCAAGCCATCAACTCTGGATATTAGAAAAGAACTTAGGTTTCTGTAATGTCCTAATCTCTCAAGCTGTAGCTTAGGAAAGAGCTACAATAGCCTGATCCAAGTTTGAATGACAATAGTGGAAGTTAGTGCGCGGTATCTGCCAGTCGGATACTCTCGGCCACAGCGTCCAGTGGGACATTGCTATTGTTGTTGTTGACACTCATGGTTGCGTGTCTGGCGGAAATGAGACCATCAAAGGAGGGAGGGAGAGAAAGTGAGAAGGAGAGAGATAGAGAGAGACAGCTTTGATAAAGCTGTCATAACAGTCAAACATGTGGCTGAAACATTTTCAATAACACAAAATTTGCCGTGCTCGTTCACCGAACAGTCCAAATAAAAAAAAATCAACTGCAAAGGACACGGAAACGACGATTAGTTAGGAAAAATAATCTAAAAAAATAGCAAAAGGACAAACCACTCGAGGACAGTTCAGACTGCAAGGCTAGGGATTTCCAAGCAGTTAGAATGAACCGATTGTCGCACTAAGAACAACAATAGCTGCAACAGCATCATCGACAACAATAGCAATATCAATTGATCTTGCATAAAACGGAAAGTCGAACAGCGCTAGCCAGGATCAGGATCGGAGTGGCAATCTGAAGCGGGGGTCGGTAACAGATACGAACGAAAACTACCCAGTCGAAGATGCTCTTCATGGACGCGCTGTTCAACAGCTTGCTGGTGGTCAGCTCCGGCTATGCAATGTACACGCTGCATCCACTGCAGACGCCCTATGGCTACGCGGCGGCGGCGTTGAGTCTGGTCCATGGGCTGCTGGGCGTGGTGCGGGCGGCGAACAATGATGACGATGAGTGCAATCGATTGCGTCAGATAACTTCCGGTATTATGGAGCTGGTGCCGCTGCCATTGACCAACATTGAGCTCTACTTGAAGTCCTCGAGCCCGCACTTGGCCATGGCGCACGGCTGCTTCTTGGTGCCGCTCACCTTCGATTTGGTGGCCAAGTGGCGCGACATCGAGGACACTTCGACGTTGACACTTAAGGATCTCACGCTGCTCGGCAATGTGGTGTCGCTGCTATTCCTGGGCGTCAATCAGTCGAGTAATATCTATGGGGGCATGGCGGCCATCGCCTTCGGAGCGCGCTACGGATCCGTCATGTTCGACTATTACTGGGAGGGCCTCGGGGTCCACTTCAACTTGCTGGCCAACTCCGCCTTCATTATGCTAATGGCCATGACGCTGACGGCCAAATCCTAAAGAACTTACCCAACCTAACTACCAACTGATGAGCAGCGTCATTTGATCTTTTGTTTCGCCCTGCTCAAGGCTAACGCGTCTGGTTCATTGGCTCAACAACGGCTCAAGCGACGGCTGCGACGGCGGCGGCGGCGGCTCAATAAACTTGCAATTAATGTTGGCAAATTAAAATGCACAAAAATAAACATTAATTGTTTTGTCAAAAAATTAAGTGTTTTCTTCCCTTCCTTCTTTCAGCCCTCGCACCCGCTCTTGCTCCGGGCGGCGGCTACAGAGACAGCCGGCAACAATTCAAGGCAAATTTATAGCAAATGATGAGCCATTGAGCAGGAATAGCCAATGCTGAAGCGAGCCGGTTCTGAACCAGTTCCGAGCCAGACAAGCTGACAAAGTTGGCTTAATCGACGCCTCATCAAGAACTCACATATGTATATGGAATTAGCGTCAACTAAAATAGGGCTCCCTATTGCAGACAAATTTAATGTTAATCCTAGTCGGCGATTGCCGATTTTTCTAGAATTAACGCTGCACAGCTTTTCGTAATATTTTCCTTATATCAATGACTTCGCAGAATGAATGTTTATATATGTACATATATGTGATAATGTATGTATTATTTAATATTTGTATATTTGCTGATTAAATCTTTCAGATTGGTTTCTAGATTTACGAGTTCCTTAAGCGCAGGCACGCACGCGCACATGGACACACGCGTACGCACACACACATGCGCAGTTCACTGCTTGCATCTGGTTGGCGAAACGCGCTTTACGTTGTCTGCTTTTGGGCGTCGAGAGTGCCATAAGGCGGACGCCGAGTTGTGAATGGCAAAGGGAACTAGCAGGAACTCGTTGTACTAATGAAACGGCGCCATAAAAAGCGACAACAAATGAGCAGAAAGGCGCAGCGAGCAGTGCAGAACAGGGGCTGGAGCGAACGGCAATAATTTATGCATTTTAATTAATTGGCAGTTGAGTGTGTGTGGATTTTAGGAACGTTTTTATGATGTTCTCAGAGCCATTCAATGCTTCGACTTTGGTTTCGACTTCGGTGTTAGTGTCGGCTTCGGCGTCGCGATGTGACGCGTCCTCCTCAACTCCAGTCCCAATCACAGTCGCAGCCATCCAAGTAAGCATGCCCGGAGCGTCTTTGTATATACATCATGTGTACATATGTACATACATACATACAACATACGACAGATGTATGTATGTATGTACATATGTAGATTGCCGACAAATCCATATTGTTGGCGAGAGAGACCATCGATGGGACTGCGACTGCGCTGCGACAGCGACAACGGCAGAGGAAATATCGTATCGGCAAAGATAAGAAAAATTAAAGCTAGCGAAAGAAGTAACCGCAAAAGCATTTCAAAAATGTCCAACAAAGAAGGTAAAAAGTATAAAACAGGAAAAGAGCGAGAAAGGAAGAAGTCACCATATACACATTTATAGATATGTATTTCTATATATATATATATATATATATATAT